AAATTCTGGCAGAAACATCACATTTAAAAGTAACTCCCCATATACTGGGGGGGTGGAGGGAGAGTGGGTAGGAAAGAGGGAACTGATTACAAGTAACTATGTGACCTCCTCCCTGGGGGATGGACAACAGAAAAGTGGGTGAAGGGAAACGTCGGACAGGGCAAGATATGACAAAATAATTTATAAATTATCAAGGGCTCATGAGGGAGCGGGGAGCGGGGAGGGAGGGGAAAAATGAGGACCTGATGCCGGAGGCTTAAGTGGAGAGGAAATGTTTTGAAAATGATGAGGGCAATGAATGTACAAATGCGCTTTATACAATTGATGTATGTATGGATTGTGGTAAGAGTTGCATGAGCCCCTAATAAAATGATTAATAAAAAAAAAAGTAACTCCCTATACCAACCAATCACTCAGCTCATGAGAGGACAGCCATTGTGAGGGGCAGACAAACAGTTTGACGCCCTTACCAAGCAAGGGGCCGCCACAGACCTCAGGCGGGCAGGGAGCCAGCTGTGTCCGGCGCCTTCAGTTGGCCTGTTCCCCAGCACCTATGCAAACCGCCCACAAATGTGGCCTGTTGTCCTGGGCGGACAGATGCCCCCTGAAGGACAAGGTAGGACTTGGGCTCTCACACCATGCCCAGGGTTACTGAAGGCCCCAGGTCAGCTGCAGTCACCCAGAAGAGAGGTCAGTTCCTCACGGGCACCCACATGAACCTTAAAAAGATGCTGGCATAAGCTCCACCTCCCCGTCCGTGATCGCCAGCTGGATGAGGCTCCCCCCATGACCCAGGCCTGGGAGGTCCCCACCAGGAAGTCTCACCTCCCCCGAGAGGTGCTTGGTGCCAGGTGGCTGGAGATGGTCACCGTTTTTGAAGAGACTTGGGCATGGCACTGCCCCAGACTTCGTGTGGCACCCACCCTTTCTTCAGCCTGCAGTCGTGTGGTCAGCCTGCTTCTTAGTCTGTCCTGTCACGACGCCGCTGGCGTTGGCCATTTCCTTCTCTGCCACGTCCATGCTGTCGACCCACCGTGGCTCTCATGTGCCTACGGTACTTTTTAAAATACGGATATGCCCTTGTTCTCCCAGGATTGAGGTACAGCTTTTCACTTACCTTGCTTTCTGTGCTTCAGTGTGATTTGTTTACTTCATTTGGTCTTGTAGACAGACTTTCTTGGAAGGAACGTCTTTCTAGTGCCCTCAAGGCCAACTTGCACCAAGCTCCCGAGTCAGGGGCTTTTCCATGTCTGATAAAGGTTGATGCCAGCACTCCGGGATCTCTAAAAGCCACTTTACCAAATGTTACCTAAGATCGACTTGGCAAGTGAGCTAGTGAGGGTAGGAGAGATGATGTCAAGGAGCCCAGGAAGGAAAAGGTTTTGGAAACTGATCGTGGAAGCAATTGCGCAATACTGCTTGATGTGACTTATCTCAGGAATGATACATGCATGAACTCCCAATTAAAAAAAAATTGACTAAAAAAAGGGGAGCTAGTGGCTTAAAAGCTTTGTCAGTCACAAAAGTATTCTCTTCTTGATGTTAGTTGCTTTTATTAGACTCTCTCGTGCTCTAGATCTACAATCAGCACAAAAGATGTCCCTCCCAGTGCCATACACCATCAAAAAGCCTGCATACACCAGACCTGTAAATGGCAATTCCTCCAGAATGTGGACTGGAAATACTGCCGGATTTCATTTGAAATGACGCATTCCACTCATTAAAAAAAAAAAAAATCTAGATTAGCATTGTTCTGTTAAGGACTTCTTCACAAGTACCATACATTTTCTGCTTTAATTTCGTGGTAATGTGGTGTACTCTTTCTACTGGCTCACTCTGCACCCTTGCTGGTTTCATTCTTTGATCCGCTGCCGAGCCGTGTGCTGACAGCAGCAATGCCCACCTTCTGGAATTTGGAGGAGGTGGTTACCTCGCTTGGCTCAGAAATGGGAATAGCTTTCTTTCCAGGTAACTTCCTGTGTAAGTACAAAGGCAGTGTAGAAGAGAAGTCCACCTTACCACCGTGAATTCCTAAGGGCTCCTGCTAGTGTATATAGATAGCTATTACAGTGATTTTCCCCAACAGATGGTACTAGAGTATCTTGAGGCTGCCTTAACACCTGAGACCCAAATCTTGGGTTTTACCCGTCACTTTTGGCATCAAAAAGTACTTGTGCCAAGTTAGGGTGTTCGAGGCCAGTCGTTTCCATTCACATCGTTTTTCTGATATCAACCACCATCCCCACCTAACAGCCGCTGGTCCCTAGTACCCAGATGTACGCTCATGGTCTTTCTGAAGCACAATGTAGTATCAGAGGGGTTCATTTGATCATGCTGTGTAATCATCTATATGCTACATATATTTAAATGCCGTTGATAACCTTTTAAAAAGTGCATTATATTAGCAAGTGACAGACTGCTGCTATGACCCAGTAATTTAACTTATCCCATGCCACCTTCATTCTTAGTAATTACTAGACTATTTGAAGGTTTAATATAGAGGGTGTATTAATTTGGAGACTAATATGCACTAATAATGCATATTAATAATAGCTAGTGGGGCTGAATGACTCAGCTGGAACGTAAGCTCATGTACAACGCAGGACTTCCAATTGTCCTAGGAAGAATAGGACTCAGCATTTTCTAGCTGCTGACATGCTGGCAAGAGTTGCAGCAAGCCATCTCCACCCGTGGCACACAAACCACATGTGGAACACAAGGGACCAGCAAGTAACCTTTGGCCTTACAGTGTCATACTAGCTCTGGTCCACCTTCCTAGTTTTACCCACAAGGGAGAAAGAACAGCATCTACCCGGTTTAAGTCACTGTTGTTTGAAGGCGCAGTCAAACCTAACCCTACTACATAATCTCAGACTCAAGTCTAACTTGCTTAACCCAAGAGGTTCATTTAGATAAAAAACCAAACTCTCCGCCATTGAGTAAATTCTGACTCATGTTGACCTTATAGGACAGGGTAGATCTGCCTCTTTGGGTTTTGGAGACTGTTACCTCTTTATGGGAGTAGAAAGCCTCATCGTTCTCCGATTCAAGTGAGACAGATCCTGCACTAGTAACTGCTACATCTTCTAAGTCAGACGGCAGAAAGTAGACCATATTTCCCACAGAGGATAAAAGCATTGTGTGTGACAAACGGGCATTTTAAGAGGTGCCGCACCTGTGGAATGACTGGCAAAGTCCCTTCCCGGAGAGAATTGTGGAGAGCAATTTAAACAAAAGGAAAATGGCTTGTTTTATTTACAATATTCAAAGCATCTTACAAATAACATATTTGCATTCCCTAAGTCTTTTGGAACGTAATTCCAGTTTTTGTGCAATGAATTTACAGGAATATCTGAAGACATCTATTAGACATCTTAAACCTAAATTCTAAGTTTTGTAAGATATTTCATATTATCGTAGAGAATTTTTTTTTAATTAAGAAAAACTAAGCTCTGTAGTTAAATATTGCCCTGCAGTATCTTTAACCCAAATACAAAGCCGATTTGCCCATGAATGAATACCATTAGATTTGGATGAAATTATATCCATCACCCTTCACAAAATGCATGCAACAAAGTAAACATGGTAAATTACATGAAAGACATTTCAATCCCCTTTTTTGGACTCTCTCAACTGTTGTTTTGCTCAATTCAGGGTGTAGGCTGGTGGAATTCCAGTGTGGGAAAACCCTAAGAGCCATGAGTCTAAGCTCCACAATAGGGCAGGGTTTTTAGCAGGTGGGGCAGGTCACGATTAGGGAGACTGCAGTGGTTTTGCTAGCACGTTTTGTTTGCTGCTAGGAGCAATTCTTCTCCAGGCCAGACAGCATCTGAAGGGGTCAGTTTCCTTGCTCCGAACAGTCCAGGATGCATCGTATCCACAGTCACCAAGGATCTCCCTCTTCCCAGTACTAGCCCCCCAAACCAAAAACCTACTGCCAGGGAGTCCACTCCGAGTCTCAGGAACCCTCTGGAGCAGAGTAAAACTGTGCCTGAGGATTCCCGAGACTGCACATCTTTACAGGAGTAGCCAGCCTCACCTTCTCCTGAGAAGCCACTAGTTGGTTTGAAGCACCAACCTTACGGTTAACAGCCCAAATTATTCCACCAAGGTAGTTGTCTCAATCTTGATTTTAATGCCCTTCCAGGTGATGAAACCCAGCTCCACTATTTAGATCAGGCATCCTCAAACCGCGGCCCGCCGAGGACATTTATCCGGCCCGCCGGGTATTTTTGCCTATTTGTTTTTTTTACTTCAAAATAAGTTATGTGCAGTGTGCATAGGAATTTGTTCATAGTTTTTTTAAAACTATAGTCTGGCCCTCCAATGGGTCTGAGGGACAGTGAACTGGCCCCCTGTTTAAAAAGTTTGACGACCCCTGATTTAGATGCTAGAAAAAAAGTTTAGTGCTCCACAAAGATCTCATGGAACAGATAAAGAATACTGGACACTGACACCTCATTGTGCAAAAGACTTACACCTTATGAATCTAGCATGAGCACATCGATTTGATCACTTACACAGGTGCCAGCTTATGACATAAATTCCACTCCCTAGCTCTTGAGCCAGACAGGAAAGACAGAGAGGGATCTCTGTCCTGGATCCATCCCAACTTAGCAAGGCGGCTCACCACCTTCACGACACTGTGCTCAAAGATGGTGTTTCTGCCACCTGGTGTAGCTGACTGGGGACATACGAGGCTGGAGAAATAAAGCACACACGTGACACAACCAACAGGATTCTAAGAGAGTGAGGTAGAGTTGAGAGAGTTCAATTAAATAGTTTTGAGCATAGACCTTTTGGCACATTCCAAAATTATACAAACTCCTTATCACATTCTTCTTTGCGACACACGTTTACAAAGTGCTGGCAACTTCGATATCCTTGGAGGAATCGTGTAGGAAACACCTGTACCAAGTTCATTAAGTCACTTGAGAAATCCCTTCCTGGCACGTTGGCTGTCATTTCCCCCCATACTGAAGCAAATAAAAACAATACTATCCATTTGCTGAATTTATTTAAACAAATCAACTTAGAAGTATCACTGAATTAAACAAAACTCCTGACATGTAAACACACTGCCATGTTCCTGAAACAGATGTTAACACCTGTAGAAAAGTTAATAACTACTTGTTAAGAACGCTGTCCAGTAGTAAGGCCAGTCTTCAGCAAAATTCAAACCATGTTGTTTCCTTGAGCTTTCCTAGTCTGACAATCCAATACCATCAAACCACAATCAAATACAATGAAGACAACATGGACGGATATATCAGTACCATTGGTTACAGCTGTGGAAACAGGTTCATTCTTGGCGCCACATAAAAACAGTTAAGCCAATCACATCAAATAAATCATGGCTTGTTTTTTGTTTTTGATCACAATTCACTATGTGATGTTAATTATGGTCCTTGTCAAACACGTTTGGTAAAGGCTATGTACAGTGTACATGGCTGAACATGCACTACTTATAGTTACAAAGATACCTGCCAGTTTATTACGATAGAATTACACAGTGCCTGAAAACGGTGAAACATCTCACACATCATTGTAACACAGTTTCAAGCAGGAAATGTTCCTTATTTGACCATGATCGCAGTATTACATGAAAATTCTTATAAAAACACGAATCCCCTTCAGGTAACTGATGCATATTCTACACACTACAGGTTAAGGCAGTAAAAAAATGTATTCCTGATAACTGGAGGTCTTGACAATGTCAATTAAAGCTGTCTGATGCTCATTCCTCATTCTCCACCAAAGCCGCAAGTCTGGTCTGTCCAACTAGTGTGCACATGATTTTATTCTCAAAGTCAAAAAAGCATTAGTAACTAACAAGAGTTGACAGTGGGAAAAAAGTAATTGCCAGGGAAAGAACGTATCTAGGTTGGATTTTATCCAACAGGGTTCAAATCATAAAACAAGAGTATTAATTGTGAGTCTGAATCTTAAAAGGTATAAAACAAATACGTACAGTTGACTTTTCTTAATTTAAAATATACTGTACTTGGAACAATTCAAGTAATGTAAAGACTATCAAAAATAACTTCAAAAGCCACACAAGTGTCAACTGCATTTTTCATGTTTTAATCAAGAACTTTGTAAAAACCGCAAATTAAGCCGGCCAGCTCAGTTCAGCTAATGCTAAGTGACTCTTTATTTGCACTTGTGAGTCCTTTAACACAAACTGCTGCCAACACGTACGCAAAGATATGGCCGATTATGCGTTTGATCAAAAGCACTTTGATTTAAGCATAAAACAGATTCAAATGGTACAAGGTCCGTGCATAAGATCCAAGAAATACCTACTACGTTGCAGGCACCCCTCTCTCTAATCAGAATCCTTTTTCTCCCAGCTGCAGAGGAGACAGGGCACAATCTGCTGTAGACAGGGCGCTGCTGTAAAGCCAGGACACGAGTCTTAAATTAGGATCCCTCTCCTTAAATTGAAAAGACTTTCCCAAGCGTCGTCCAGCAACTGTCGTAGGTTCTGCTGACCGTTTAGTTTATAAATTAACTTTCCTTTGATTCCATTTTTACGGTGGCTGTGTTCAGTTTTGTTTTAAAAATTGGTTGAAATTTATATAAAACTCTGTACATGTTCACAAATTATTGCATAAACAGCATAATCTTCAAGACAGTGTTTGCAAACACATGTCCAATTCAGGAAAAAAATATTCACGTTTCCCGTCTGGCTTTTTTCTTCTTTTTTATTTGCTTGGGAGATTCCCAGCTAGTTTCAGACTTGGCTAAAAAGAAAACAGAAAAAAAGGATGATAGTAAGTATTGCTACCAGCCACTAACAATGACAAAAAGGTGCTTTAAAATCCACTAGGAATGCAAATGTCAAACTGTATGTTCAAGTTATAATGCCCTCCTCTACATCGTTGCCCTGCTCCTTGAGTTATTTCAGCTCTTTGATGGCTGAATCTCCCTGACTCCACAGATCCTAGTTTTTGCAAAGAGAAAAAGCTGACTCATTAATGTTTCCAAAACCCAGATTCACTGCTGCCGAGTTCATTTCAACTCAGTGGCTCCAAAGGGCAGAGTGGACCAGCGGCTCTCCACCTTCCCACGCGCGACCCTCGACAGCTCCTCATGCTGGGCTGAACCCCCAACCATAAAATTACTTTCGTTGATACTTCTTAACTATAATTTTGCTATTGTTATGAATTGGGCGACCCCGGTAAAAGGGTAGTTCGGTCATGACCCACAGGTTGAGAACCGCTGCTGTAAATCCTTACAGGAGCTGACAGCCTTGCCTTGTCATGACTTGTGGGGATTCGAACTTGGAATGACTGGTGGGGATTCGAACTTGGAGTGACTGGTGGGGATTCGAACTTCTGACTCGGCTAACAGCTCGATGTCTAGCCCTCTCCGCTCGCCATCAGCATCCTACGGAGGCACACTCACTCTGTGACGGAGGCACACTGTTCTGCTTCGCGTTCGACTTGGACTTCTCTGTCTCTTGTGGCATCGGTGGCACTTGGGAGGAGCTCTTGTCATCACTTTTTGATGAATTTACAGATGGCTCGGTAGAAACAGCAGGTGGAAGAGTCTTGATAGGCTATTTCGGAATAAAATGATCTTAGATTGCTTTTTTGGTAAAAACATTCAAAATAAAAGTATTTTAGTCTTATCAAGAGGCTTTTAAGTAGGAAATACTCAAGTGGGTTCTAAATAATTTAACATCAGAAGCACTAGCAAGTCATGCCTGCCCTCTAGTGACACGACTAAGCAAACCTTTACCTACAACACTCATGAGTACAGGTCGAAAGAAAAGGGAGCACAAGTACAAAATTACAAACGCCTACGGAATCACAAGCTAGGGTGAATAATTCTTTCAATTTCATTAACGCTCACATTTTTCTTACTCACTATAATTAGCAGGATTTTGTATTTGCTAGTGAGTCCATGCTGTCAAGAACCATCAACTTGATTCCAACTTGTCAGTGACTACACATGCAAGGCTAACACTGTCCTAGAGAATTTCTAGGTTGTAATCTTTAGGGAACAAATTGCCAACAGCAGAGTATTTAACTGTTGCATCACCAGGGATCCTTAGCTTGGTAATTAGTATGCTTGGCTTAGTAGAAGACCTTTGCCTCCCTACTCTCAACTTCCCAAACCTGTCTCATGTGGAAGACCGGATGGATAATGAAGAAACTGTCTGAAAAGAGAAGAAATGGCTTCAGATTACGACAAGAAAAGAGATGGTCCCAAAGAAGCTGATTGTGGCCTCTAGTCTTACTGACTAAGCCAAGGAAACCTCAGGTCCAAACCGTCAGAGCTTTCCTCAGCCTAGTAGGGGAATGAGAATGCTCAGGGTCCGCTCGAGCCTTCCTTGGCCAGCCTGGAGCAGGCGGAGGGACACGAACTGAGCCGCTTCACTGAGGCATTACTGCCACCAGGAGCAGTGAATACATAAACCATGTGCAATTCAAGTATAATTTACCCAATAAGAAATCAAGACATTGAAAAGCCATAGTCTTTGTCATTAGCCTATATCTTTTATAGAATGGTCCGGATACTTTAGTCTGTTCCATAGAAAACACATTAATTTGCGAACCTGATAGGAGGGTTGAACTATAGTTATATAATGTGTGTGCTTGGGCGGGGGGGAGGGGGGGGAGATGCAACCCATCCCATGTCTCCAGGTCATCTACCCCTTGTGTGCCTACAGATTTAACAGCAAGAAACAGTGGCTTTCCCTGCTCTTACCAGTTTGGCTCTAACTGCTTTGGTGAGAAGACGCTGAACCTATCTTGTAAGTCCTTCTACCTAACAATATGCATGTCCCAATAGTGGACTTGCTCCTGTTTCTATATGTAGTCCCACCTGTTACAGTGATGTGTTGCTCTGTTAACAATGATGCCCCCCCCAACCCCCCGCTTCAATCATGCTTTTTGAGACAGTTCACACACACCCTGCCCCCCTCAATACTCCACTTTAGAGTCCCAATTATGAGCCCTTGGGTCATTTCAACTTTGTGCCAATGGTCTCCCTCACCAGATGATAAGTGCTTGTGTCTTTGTGTTGTATTTGCCTCTCTTAAGACTTAATAAATGTTCTCTTTAAACTATAAAAAGAAAAAGAAAAACCAGTGGCTTTAATTTTGTCAGTGAGAGAGTTATGATGCTGGGCAACTGACCAACTTCTCAGGCCTTGATTTAATGTCTAATACGTTCTACCTTTCTCTTGGGGTGTTCATTTAAAATGCTTAGTACAGTGCATTACTTAACAAATATTGTTACAATTCTCAAATTGTCATATCGCTTAATAAATGAAAAATGAAAAATAAAATTACCTGGCTATTTTTGACGTGTACTTCAGCTGATTCACTAGTGCTTATGGTCTTCAAAGAAAATGCTTTCTCTGGTTTGGGTCGGACTTTAGAGGTATTCACTGGATGCTCTTCTTTAATCTCTTTTTCCAAGTCTTCTGTGTCCTACAGAGAATAGTAGTTTATTAGAGTATAGAAATCACTAATTTTTTAATTAATTACACTTAATTTGGGATAAGGTAGTTAGTTAGGTCTAGAAGATAGCCCAGGAAAATAATTTTATTTTGGAAACTGCCCAAAGAGCTAAATAGAGGATATAAAAATAATTGCTTGAAGATTTATAGGACACATGGTCATTGGTACATACATTCATCGCCCCTGCTTCCCTGAGGGAGTTCAAGGACAACATTCTCCACTTTCAGTGGACGCTCTTCTAACACACTCGACAAATTGAGTAATTAGTGCATTTTTCTTTTTAAAGTACACAGGGAACTCGTGGATACTTAAACTAATAAGCATGTTTTGCTTCACAGATGAATTGGTTTACAGACTAGGGAAAGGATGCACATAGCTAGCTAGACTGTGGCATGGCCACACTGAGGGCGCTTGCCCTGTCAGCCTAGCTAGATAATCTCAAAGACTAATCACGTAGTTTCCCCAAGTTTCCGTTTTCTCAACTGTAAATTAAGCCGTGCCCAGATGGTTTTCAGGGCTCCACCCGTTTGATGTTCTTAGAAATGTTTAAAACGTTAATTTAACATAATCACTCTGAAACATGCTACAGCTCAGCGCCCCACTCCTGACACCACAGCCAGATGGTCCCAGTCACCATGCAGACTGAATGAATGAGACAGCAGTAGAAGGCTGTGGACAGAACGGGAGAAAAAACGTGGCACAAAACTTAACGAGACCAGGTTTTAAGGCGTGACAGTCTGGCAGAACCCCTGAAATTCTGGTTAGAACTTAACCCCTCCCTTGACTTGGCTCAACTTTTAGGCTACTAGCAGACAGACCTACACTACGGGTGATCTCCAGCTAAACGACCAGGATCTTAGGAGATCAAAAGGGCATTTGCTGGAGGACAAAGATCAGAAGGAAGGAAGGGATGGAGAAGAGGAGGAACAGAAAGGAGAAACGCTGGGGGGAAATGGGAAGAGAGCTCTCTGTCACATTGTGCAGAATGCAGTCAGTGCCACGAACCAAAGTGTATAGATTGCTGAATGAAAATCCAGGGGGCTCTAGAAACTTTCACCCAAGTCACAATAAAAAGTTTCAATAAATAAATCCCCAAACTTATGGGGCATTTCCACTGTGTCACCTAGAGTCACCATGTGGGGGTGGGGGTGGAATGAAGGCAGCATAGTACATCCTTATATATGTGAAATAAGCATCAACGAGAGTGTGAGCACAGTAAACAAGGAGCACCACTGTAAGTGAATTGTTCTCTAGCAAACACACACACATATAATGGTTGTTGCTATCTTAAAGAAGTGGTTAATAAAGATCTTTTCCGTTCCCAATTCTGGTGAAACTTCTTAAGGATGGTAGAGGGTTTAGATTATAATTTACTTTTTCTTTTATTTTTATTGGCCCTTAATTCACACATCATACAATTCAATAGTTCAATCATATTGAGTTGTACAATTAAAATCAATTTTAGAACACTTTATTTTTTTCCTTACGGTTAAATCACTTTAAAAAAAAATCATTGGGGCTCATACAACTCTTATCACAATCCATACATACACCAATTGTGTAAAAGCACACTTATGCATTCGTTGCCCTCATCATTCTCAAAACACTCGCTTTCTGCTTAGGCTCCTGGCATCAGCTCCTCATTTTTCCCCCTCCCTCCCCGCTCCCTCCTCCCCTCATGAATCCTTGATCATTTATAAATTATTACCAGTTGTCTACAGGTGGACATTGGGTCCCCATCCCGCACTCCCCCTCATTCGCAATGATATTTTTTATTCTTAGATGCCTGATACCTGGTCCCTTCGACCCCTCGTGATCCCACAGGCTGGTGTGCTTCTTCCATGTGGGCTTTGTTCCTTCTGGGCTCGATGGACGCTTGTTTACCTTCAAGCCTTTAAGACCCCAGATGCTTTATTTCTTGATAGCTGGGCACCATCAGCCTTCTTCACCACACTTACTTATGCACACATTTGTCTTCAGTGTTTATATGGGGAAGGTGAGCACGCAATGATGGTTTTTGTTCTTTGGGGTCTGCTACCCGATCCCTTCAACACCTCGTGATCACACAGGCTAAATCACTTTTAAAATGAGTTGTGGCTCTGGAGGGTCTTGGGAGAAGCACTGGCGCCAAGGACGGGGGAACAACTAAGAAATTGAAACCAACATCTAGCAGGTTACAGAGATCCTGTGGGTATTAGAGCAACACCAATCTAGCTGAGAGGAAGTACTAAGAGGTGGGAGAAGGGGGAACGTGATGGTGGGGCTGGAGGAGGCAAAAGGAAACAAAGGAAGCAAAGCTATAGATAGAGGTATTAACAGAGGTGTGTACTTCTGTAAATACATTAATCCATAAAAATAGAGGTATTGGCCAATGTCATATGTTTTTAAGATTGCAGACAGGCCTCAGCTCATACCCTCCCCTCAATACAAGAACACTTTGTTCTAACAGACTGGCATTTTGTGATGCTCAAGCCCCACCCCGATTGCTGAAGACAAAATGGGTCCATAAGCAGATGTGGTGAAGACAGCGGACTGTGCCCGGCTATTTAGATATAGCATCTGGGGTCTTAAAGGCTTGAACTTAAACAAGCGGCCATCCAACAGGGAAACAACAAGCTCACATGGAAGAAGCACACTAGCCAGTGCAAGCATGAGGTGTCATCATGACAGGACAATGGGCATCAGAAGACTCATAACAAACAACAAACAGATATGACAAAATACCAATTTATAAACTATCAAGGGCTCATGAGGGAGAGGGGAGTGGGGAGGGAGGGGAAAAATGAGGACCTAATGTGGGGGTTTAAGTGGAGAGAAAATGTTTTGAGAATGATGTACAAATGCGCTTTACACAACTGATGTGTGTATGGATTGCGATAACAGTTGTATGAGCCCCTAATAAAATGTTTTAAAAAAAAAAGTACAATTCTTGGAAAACAAACAAACAAACAAACAAATGAAAAACGCATTGGTGAGAATAATGGTGCATGGAGCAGACTCAAAGCCCATCTGTGGACAATGGAAATCCACCCACAGAGGGGTTGCAGGGAGATGAGTCAATCAGGGTGCAGTAGAGCATAGATGGATCACACAATATACCTCTTATCCCTTGAGGCCTCCTCACCCCCCACCCCCACTCTCATGACCCCAGTGCTACTTCCCACTCTAGACTGGATGGGAGCAAGTACATAGGTAGAGGCAAGAGATAAAGCTCACAACACATGAACCCAGGAACAGGAATGGGAATAGCGATACTAAAGGGGCATGGGCAAGGGGGTACCAATTGCAATGAAGGGCACATAACCACCCCCACCCCTCATCCGGGGGGAGAACAACAGAAACCAGAGGAGAAGGGAAACAACAGTCGGTATGAGATAGGAAAATAATAACAATCAATAATCTATCAAGGGGCCATGAGGGTTGGGAGGGAGGGTTAAAAAAAAAGAGGAGCTGATCCCAACGGCTCAAAAGAAAGTAAATGTTTAGAAAAGAACGATGGCAATATATGTACAAATATGTCAGATACAACTGATGTACGGATTGTAACAAGAGTTGTAAGAGCTCCCTGTAAAACGATCTGAAATAAATAAAATGTATTATGTATGTCTTAAAAAAAATGAGTTGTGTAATCATCAGTTCTACTGTTCCTTCCTCACTCCTCCTCCCCTTCCCTATCTCTACTCCCCACCCCTATAAACCCCTGCATCAGTTGTATCTTTATGCATCTACTCCTTCTGTGCTCCACAACCTGGTAAACCCAATAAAAAACAGAAACAAAATAAAGTGATAAAGGTAAAATAACAATAATACAAAGACAGAAATACAAATAATAAAAAAAGATTAGTGAATATTTGAAAGGCCAGCAAAGAACATTTTGCCATGGAACTATCAAGAAATACTTGCACCTAGAATTTCAAGTTGGCTCAAGTCGGAGGTGTCAAGTTTGATCCAGGGTGTAATCACGATTACAACGATCCCTATCTGATAGGGATCTGCCAGTGGCTTAACTTGAACAGACACTCTGCAGATGGGTTTTGGGCCCTCACTGTCTTTCATAGCCTTCTACAAATTGGATGTTTTGCAATTTAGGCCCTGATACTTTTCCCTTTGTCATGTTTGAATTTTGTTACTGTCGTCTTTGGATCACACAAACTGGTGTGCTTCTTCCATGTGGACTTAGTTGATTCCTCACTTAGATGGCTGCTTGTTCGAATACAATCCTTTAAGACCCAGACACTATTCTGATTGATGGCCAGGCACCATCTGCTTCTTCACCACACTTTGCTGTAGCACCCTTATCTTCAGTGATCTTTTCATGAAGGTGAGTATCGAGCAAGGCCATGTTATCACAATGAACTGTTCTTGGATTGGGGCTAGAGTTCAGTGGGGGCACAGAATCCATCTGCTTGTCCCTGGGATATGAATGACTCAGGTTTACTTTGGTGGTTATATTACGACAAATTCAAACCAAGTAAGACCAACTACCCTAACAAAAGCAACAAACCAACTAGCAGACAACAAGACAAACAAACAAAAACAAGCAAACTAAAGGCAGGAAAACAAAAACCCATAGAGGCAGAAAAGTAAAACATTGTCAATCACCCTCCTGGGGTATAAGGTGATTGTACTTGTAACATCATCATTTTTGCCCAATGACACAGCACTCTGGACACTGATGTTCTGAGGAGTCTATGCAAGTACGTACAGCTTCAGCGTGAGCCGCAACCCAGGAGTTGTTGTTCATCTCCCTAAGCACGGGGAATGGTGCCAGGGGGAAACTTCCTGGATCAGTTCTTTCAAGTTCAAATCCCTGTCCAACAGATCAAAACCTGTCATGTCTAGGTCCTTTTCCACTGGACGCCCACCAAGTCTAATGACTGCTACTTCAACTCTGCTTCCTCTCCCATCCAAGTAAATTATAATTTAAATCTGTGTTGTGAATATAAGTGGGGCAAGTGCTTCCAGGCACGTAAGGGTGCAATCTACAGAAGACTACATGTTCACTCTAAAGAACTCCACCAGACTCGTACCAGCTAAAGTGTTTCAATGGAAAACAACAAAAACCAAACACAGAGAAATTCTATCACTTACGGATATGCACGCTGCACAGAATTTAATGGATATAGCATTGAATTCTTTTAAAATAAATCATTTTATTGGGGGCTTTCCCAGCTCGCATCACAATCCATCCATCTATCGTGTCAAGCACATCTGTACATATGTTTCCATCATCATTTTCAAAACAGTTTCTTTCTATTTGAGCCTCTGGTATGAGCTCACCCCCCCCCCCCCCAATGAACCCTTGATAAGTTATAAATTATTATTATTTTTTCATGTCTTACAACGACTGCTGTCTCCTTCCTTCACCCACTTTTCGCATTTATTCTTAAAGCAAGCTATGGTGGGACTTTTCTCTTTCACCTTGGGCAAGGTAACAAAACAAACAAACCCCAGTACAAGGGGAGAACTGCACTCTGAAGACAAGTTTGACTTCAAAATCTGTGTCGTGGTTTACTCTATCAGCATTTAAATACAGACATACTTTTACTTATTTATTTAATCATTTTATTGGGGCCCCACACAGCTCTTACAGCAATCCATACATATGTCCAATGTGTCAAGCACATTTGTTGCCATCATCGCCTTCAAAAAACATTCTCCCTCCACCTGAGCCACTGGCGTCAGCTCATTTTCTTAGGCAGCCCCTCCAACCCTTGATAATTCACAAATTATTATTTTTTACATCCCACACTGACTGATGATGTCTCCCTTCACCCACTTTCCTGCTGTCCGCCCCCCTGGGAAGGGGCTATATGTAGATCACTTTGATTGGTTCCCCATCCCTCCCCTCTCCTTCCCCCTATTGTCCTGGAGTTCATGATTCCATCTCTTATCTGTACATGCTCTGGTCTAGCCCAATTTGTAAGGTAGAAATGGCGTCAGAATGGTGGGAAGATATATATTTAAAGGATTATCTGAAAGGAGTCGTGGTGGCATATTGTGTTACTCCTGGGGTTATTAAGTACAAGGTCAGCTGTTCGAAACCACTAGTGGGCCCAAAGGAGAAAGATAAGTCTTTCTACTCTCATAAAGATGGCTGAGGAAACCCAAGGGGGCCTACAGGGTCACTTTACTGAGACTTGGAATTGACCAGAAGGCTGTGAGGCCTTTGCCTGAATAATTACCAAAGGGATGGTCACATAGCTCTGCCTCTAAATGGAAAACATTAGAAATACATCTACTGCACGTAACATCTTTGATGGTGTCAAGGAATACTGGTGGAAGTTATACCTTTGTAAAGGGCACTGTCTTTGTATTTTTGCCCTGAATTAACTCCCATCCCAATAACCACAACCACCACCACCCCTTCCTCCCACACCCAAACATCTCATCTCAGGAAGCAGAGAAGGCCAGAAAGAAAGCTAACCGGGCACATTTTGTTTAAGCTCACACCCAGGAGTGCTGTAAATTACCGTACTCTTTACCCAGTCAGATTCACAAGGGTCTCCAAGACACATTTTTAGGAGTTACTGTCAAAGAGCAGTGAGAAGCCTGGCATCCGTAGGGGAAGACCCAGCTTTAGGTAGCTCTCTGCCCCCTTGGGTGGGACACTGGGGGAATGTCTGAATAAAATTGCCGACGCTTACAAAATCAAACCACCTCTTAAACAAAAGTCGTTGAATCCATACCCAGAAGAGGAGTACTAGTGAAGGCTATCGTTATAGCCTTCTTTGAATAACCTTTCTCATCAGCTAGCTTTAGATAACAAGAAAGGTATACTTATTACATGTTTTTGTTTATCACATCTGTGATCATCTTGGCCATTTTTATTAACCTGTACACGCAATCACAAGGCGCTCTGGTGGTTTCCTGGGTTGCAGGCTGAGGTGCGAACTGCAAGGCCAGTAGCTTGAAACCACTGGCCACTCCACAGAAGGTGAGGCTTTCTGTGCCCTCTAAGACTTCCAGCTTCAGAAATTCTCCGAGGAGTTCTTGCTGTCTTTAGGATGCTCTAAATTGGAATGGACTTGATGATAGTGAGTTTTTTTAGCTTGGGTCCATTCATTATTAATTCCAACAATGATGAGTTAGATAGATATTTATTTCTTTTCCAAAACAGAGCACTAAGTAGGAAAAATCATTACGTGGGGTTACCCTCTGTAAATGTTAGCTCTGCCTATCTCCAATACTTAAATGAATGAAAACAATTTGCAAGTGGCTTCAGTAAGGCATAAAAACCCTCCTAAGTTTAGGAACGGAGCCAGTGCTTTCAGAAATATAGATCTGTGCACATTCCCAGGAACTTACTATGTTTCACTGAACTGAAAAGAACTTGGATTGTATGTTTACTATAAGCTGACCCCCCACCCACCAGAGGGGAGATCAAAGGCAAGGAGAATGAGGAGGGATGCAAACAGAACACGTCTGCTAATGAGAAACAAAGTAATCAGGAAAAACACAGTGGAATCAGAAGCCAGCAAAATCAGAGGCAGTGAAAAACTCTGCATACTTTGTGTCTGGGTTGCAAATGGCATAAAACGGTGCCATTCAGTTACAGGGAAATGTGTGTGCCCTACTAGACAATCAGAAATGCACTTGATTAATTTGTACTCAAAACTCAAAACTCACTGCCACCGAGTCAACAGACTCAGAGTGACTTCGTACCACCCCCCTGTGGGTTTCTGAGACTGGAACTGTTCACAAGAGTAGAACGCTGGCCTTTCTTCTGAGAAGCAGTTGGTGGTTTCAAACTGTTGACCATGAAGATCACTTATCTTTTAAAACACTTGAGAATTTAAAAGTTTGATTTCTCACACATTTCTTTCTACACATTAGAGTCTGCATAAGAGGGTCTTCATAAAGTTCATGAAGATATTACATCACCTTTAATTCCACTTTCCACAAACTTTGGGACGCCCCTCTCATACTGTCACTACAGCTTGCAGCAGTCAATTCGGAATGAATGTGTGCAGTTTTGCTATTTTCACTTTTACCTGTGCAAAAGAGTTATCTTCACCTTGCTTCTTCTTTTTCTTCTTCTTCTTCTTCGATTTCCCAGCTTGAAGAGCTCCCTCTCCCTTTTCTTTATCTTCATCCGAAACCTGTGTGACAAGTAGAAAGTAGGCAAGTGAACTGATTGTTTTGGTGAAGTTGATTCTACCCATTAGGTTCAGTCCTTGTCCTCTAGATTCCATGTAAGAATTAAGATGAAAGGGGGTAGCATTTGCCCAAGGACAGAATTTGGGAAATTTAGGAGAGGGGAGAAGGAAATGGAAGCGGGCGGTAAGCGGGGCTGCACTGCAATAAATGAGAAAAGCAACAGGAGTGTGAACTGTTGAATAAAAAACCTCACCAAATCATAAAGAAATACTGAAACTGATCTGGTATTATTTAAAGACTAAAATACTTTCCTACTGACTACAACAGACCACTTTCCCCACATCTTTTATTTTTCACTAGACACTCACTGCCAGAGTAAATTCTGACTCATAGTGACCCTGTAGGACAGAACAGAACAGCCCTGTGGGTTACTGAGACTAACTCACTATGGGAGTAGTCAGCCTCATCTTTCGGCGAGAAGTGGAAGTGGCTGGTGGTTTTGAACTGCAGACCTTGAGACTGGCTGCCCACTGTATTGCCCACCCTCGATGCTCAGGCTATTTTTCACAAGATCAATTAAAGAGCTGTGCAAATCCTGATGTTTGGAAATGCAGTTGGAGAGCAGTGATACCAGGAGGGTAAGGGGAAGGTGGGGGGAGAAAAGGGGAACCTATCACAATGATCGACACAGAACCCCCTCCCAGGGGGATGAACAACAGAAAAGTGGGTGAAGGGAGACATCAGTCAGTGTAGGACATGAAAAAATAATAATAATTTGTAAATTATCAAGGGTTCATGAGGGAGGATGGGGGAGGGACGGAAAATGAGAAGCTGATACCAAGGGTTCAAGTAGAAATAAAATGTTTTGAAAATGATGACAGTAACAACAAATGTATGAATGTGCTTGACACAATGGACGGTAAGTAAAAATGTATTGGTACATAATCAGAGGTCTTTATTAAACAAAAGTATCAAAATATAATGTGATTCCCCACATACCCTCCAACTAAGCCTATACACTTCTGAAGGGGGTTCCATCTCAGACCCTGCCCTACCTCAAAGAACGCTGTGCTCTTCAACGCACATGCCAAAATGGCAGTTTTGGCATCCCTGGGGGCTCAGATCCTGTTCCTTTTAAATGTTGAGTTTCGGAAACAAAAAGGAAATCTGAACAAGATCAAGGCTGGAGGGTGTGTGGTAAGGTTTCCCAACAGGTATACTGACATGGTGGGGAAACAACTTTCTGGCTCTCCCCCCACAAATATAGTTTACCATTTTCTTAAAATGGCATCATAGTATGCCCCCATTCATCCCGTGTCCTTCAAGAAAAGCTATGAAGATCATAATTTTGAAATCTGAAACATAATGCCAATAAGGCACTCTGCCTTGAAGGTAACTGGCCCAGCAGAGTCCCTCACGTGTCACTGTTTTGATTGGATCCCCTTTTCCCTTTTTGAAGGTACCCCAGTGAGACTAAGACAAGTTTGTTGCAGAAGGAATTTGCCTGCAGCCACTCCCTGATCAAAGATATGTTTGCACACATGTCATTTGAAACAAAGCCATGCACATGCAATCTGGGGCCACAGCAGGCATACTTTCTGATAACCTTCACTTTTGCAACCGTACAGCCAACAAAGGACTAGTGTTTAAAATATATAAAAACACTCACGATTCAACAATTAAATAGAAAATATGCAAAAGACACATTTTACCAGAGAATATACAGCAGCCCAAACCAAAACTACCTCCCTCGAAAAACAAACAGAATATGCATGATCACCAGGCTGCTATCGGAATGCTAAATGAAAACCAACGACATCAGCAGACCGCATGTGAGAGGGAAGATATACACAGCCTCCGGATTGCTAGGGGTACTGCCACTCAGGAAAAGATAGTTTCTCAGAAAAAGAAATCTGTAATTACAATACCCAAAACTCCAAACCAAGCTCACGACCAATGAATCGATTCCAACTTAGTAACCCTACAGACAGAGGAGCACTGCTCTTCTGATTCCCAATGGTTAGGAGTAAACACACCAAACCCATCTATCTCCTTCCTGGGGGGTAACAGGTGGATCCAAACAGCTGACTTTGTGGTTAGCAGCTCCTTGGGGAGCCCACGATCCCAGAGTAATTTAGACTTGGGTTCACACTAGCCAAATTCAGATGTCTTTCAACTGGCACATCATTAAACTGAGTGCAACCCCAATCATGGAGTACCATCCTGGAGGACAAAGGGAGGGCCCAGCTCTACACACAACCACCTCGATGAACAGAGGACTCTGCAGATGAAATAAGCCAACCCCCAAGAGCTACACACTTCATGATTCCATTCATTGAGCTTTGTGAAATTATAAAATCAGACAAATGGAGAATAGATCACTGGTTGAAGAAAGTGTGGCTTTAAAAGGGCAATTTGGGGGATACTTGTGGGGCTAGAGATGTCCTGTAGCATGCCTGCACCCACGTCAGCATCCAGCTTGTGATAACTGTGTGATAGCTTTCAAGATGTTACCACTGGGGGAAACTACTGGGTACAGAGAATCAGGATGTACTATTTCTGACAACTGCATATGAAACTACGATTACCTAAGACATTAAAATTTTGTAAAAATTTGAAAAATGTCTTAAAAAACACACCTTAAAAGTAGCAATAATAAATACCTAGTGAGAGCAAATCTTTTGAGAATGATGAGGGCAATCAATGTATAAATGTGCTGTACACAATTGATGTATGTATGGATTGTGATGAGCTGTATGAGCCCCTAATAAAACGATTAAAAACAAAACAAAACAAACAAAATAGCTAGTGAATAAATATTATTAAATCAGTATTCATATGATACCTCTTCACTAACACTGCGTAGCTGAATGCACTATGGATAAAGCTCTTTTGCCTATTTTGTACAGACAACAGACTAGATTACTCGAATGGCCTCTTGGGAGAGATGAGTTGATAATAAAGAATTGCTATTTTTCTGCTCAGTATCACAGTCACTATGATTAGCTTACAGAAAGAGCAAAGGGCAGATAGGCTACCTGGCTTCCAGTTTGACAGGCCTGGCAAGCTACAACTGTCATATGAACAAACACACCCTGTGAAGGGTGCTCAGGTCAGAAGGATGCTCATTAGTCTGCGGCTCAGCCCATTAGAGTTCCTACATGAATGCTGTTCCTTATATGGCAAAACACTGTTTCTGATAATGAGAAGAAATCCAAAACCAATTCTGCAGCATCTTTGAATGAATGTAAAATGTTGCTGCTATGCTAAGCCCTGTTGTCACTGTGCCCCAAGTGTTTTGGAATGCACATATATGAAAGTACGCAAACTACCAAACACCTGCTTGCACACTTAGATTTAATAAGTGCTGGACACGGGCAAATTTTAGCTTTTTTATAAGAAAAGGAATTATTGGTAAACTTAAATTTCTTTATACTCCAGTCCCATTTCCACTATTTCTTGAGACGTTAAGTGACTTAATTGCCTGGCTTATTTTTCTAACTGATCTTTGTTATTCAGCCATTAAAAAACAAACAAACAAACAAACAAACAAACAGCTAGCCATATTGTTATCAATGTAGCTTTAGTTCATTAATTTTTAACTTCTATATAATATGCTTCTGTAAAAACACATGGAGCCTTGGCGGCATAGTGGTTAAGCAATAAGCTGCCATCTACAGGGTCATCAGTTCAAAACCACCAGCTGCCCCACAAGAGAATGATTTGGGTTTCTACTACCATAAACAGCTACAGTCTTGGAAACTCATGGGGGCAGTTCTACCTTGTCCTACAGGGTCACTATGAGTCAGCATAGACTTCATGGTAGTGAATTTGGTACAAAAACATAAACACTTTCTTTTTCCACTCCCCTACTGAAAGACACTTAGATATTGCCCCACCCCCTATAAATGTATACGATGAATGCTAAAGTTGACTCACAACAATAGGGACTGGAACTTACATGTGGGTTTTTAAAAAAAGGTGTGCTGCCAATATCTCCACATGAACAAATTCTGTATTGCAGTAAAACGTGATCAATTATAGCTCTGACATATTTTTGGCCCTGTAAGTGTCCCTCCTGATGCTGGAAGTGCTCCCAAGAAGCAGAGGAAAGTCCTGATGCTATCTGCTGTGGCTGTCCACCATGCCAAGATAAATGCATCCAGATGGACAGCCACTGCAGAAACGAAGCCATGGTGGCAGCTATGTCAGCAAGCACAACGCCCCTGCACTTTCTGAGAAGCACTTTATCTTCTATGAGAATGCAACTTTTAAGTGGGTGCAGCAGATAATACATAACACGAAATATTAGGGGACTTCAAAGCTTTTGTGAAAGATTTCCATTACCTTTAATTTTTTCATGAATGTAAAAAAAATTTTGTATTATGAATTGGGCGAAGGTTTACAGAGCACATCAAGTTTTATTTCAACAATTCATACACGTTTTAATCCCCCCAATGCACCATCTCTTCACTCACTTCCTCCACGTTTTCTCTTGCCATTCTTCCTCTTCCTAACCCTCTGAAATGTGTCCTTGGGTAAATGCTAACTAAACATTTACTCTCGTATGGTTGGTTATTCTAAGGTATGTGTATTGTTACTGCTCTCCTTATAGGCCAATTATTTGACTGAAAACTCAGTCATGGGGTGAGTTTAGTTCCAGATGATGGATGACTAAGAACCAGTCCTGGGTGTCTCACCGGTCTCTAACTGACCAGTAATGCCTAATCTTTATCATGATTTTTGAGTTTTATCATTTTCTCCACTCCACACAAACCTTCTGTGATACTTTTCAGAGCAATTGATAGAGGTAGTGGTGCACCATCTCATTCTTCTAGTCTCATGGCTATAGAGACCGATGTATGTATGCATGGTGGATTATTTCCACGTCTCTTTGTAGACTGTCATTAGGAGCCCTGGTGGTGTAGTGGCTAACTGTTGGGCTTCGATCCATATGGTCGACAGTTTGAAACCACCAGCAGTTCCAAGGTAGAAAGACTGGGCTTTCTACTCTTGTTAATAGTCACAGTCTCTGAAACCCACAGGGAGACTCTATCGGCCAGCATTAACTCAATGGCAATGTTTTTGTTTTTAATTCTCTTCTGTCTTCTTTCCTCCAGATGGGGAGAGACCAATATTTGCACTTTAAATGGGTGCATGCGAACTTGTCGGACCCCAGTCAATACTCACCCAAAGTAGGGTACAGAACGTTGTGCTTGTGTTGTCATGACACTTGGTGTCTTGGTGTCTCCGGGGCGATGGTCCGGAGCCCTCAGGGCCAGACTCATTCTCTCAAGGTGTTCGGTTATGTTTTAAGTTTTCATAAATTTTCCCCCTGTATGCTCCGCCACATTTATGAATATATTTGCAGCCAAGATACACACACCTCTACTGCTTTTAACTCTTGCAAACCTCCCAATGCCTTCCCCTGCCTCCATTTTCTGACAATCTCATTCTTCTTATATATTTACTTCCCCTTTATCCAAGTTAGCACTTGACTAGCCTCTACTAGCCAGTGACTTCCTTCCTTTCCTGGTAATAACCAAAGAAATGTTTTTGCTTTTAGTGTAAAAACATTTTCTCAACTTTTTACAATATTGATCTCATACAATATTTATCCTTTGGTGATTGACTAATTTCATGCAATATCTTCCAGGTTCATCCATGTTATATTGACTCTTTAATGTTGTGGAATATTTAATTGACTACACTATGCCTTGGTGGCAGAGTGGGTTATGCATCGGGCCACTAACTGAAAGGTCAGTTCAAAACCACCAGCTGTTTTGAAGGAGAAAGATGAAGCTCTCTGCTCCCACAAAATTACAGAAATGTAGTTCTACTCTGTCCTAAAGGGTCACTAGGGAGTCCACATGGATTCGATGGCATTGAGTATACCACTGTGTATATGTACCAAAAGTTTTCTTATTCACTATTCTGCTAGACATTTAGCTTCTTCCCATTATTTTGCTATTGTGAATAGTGCCCTTGTATAAGTTAATCAGCTGTTTCTAACATCAGTTAGACTTCAGACCAACAGCAGGTTATAGTAATTCAGTTTTTGAGGAGTTAAAAGTTATATTGGATTTGTGACCAGCTTAGAGCTCTTTTAACCAACATTTATTCATTTATGTTATTCTAACAGTTTAGGGAGGCTAGAAATCTGAATTCAGGGCTCCTGATCTAGGGCAAAAGAAGCCTTGGTGGCATAGTGGTTCCAAGATGGGCTGTTGGTTTCCAAGGTCAGCAGTTCAAAACCAGCAGCTGCTCTGAGGGAGAAAGATGCCGCTTTCTGTTCCCATCAAAAATTACATTCTAGGAAACACACAGGGGTAGGTTACCAACTCTGTCTTATAGGGTGTGGTACTTAGATAATGCTGTAAATTTGAGACTTAAAAGTGAAGGGGGGTGGTGTTTAGCCTGTCAATCTGGTTGCAGCTTGACGACCTCATTTGGAGGCACTAAGGAGATAAATAGCTGGCTGGAGGCAGACACACACTCACTCCTTGTGAGACATTCCTGTGGACAAGACACATGGAGCTATGCTAGAGCTCAGGAGCAGGAGGCCCCTGCCAGCACTGTGATGCCTCTACTACCACTGGATCCACAACACTTCCCACCCACTGGCCTGTGATCTTCCTGCATTCAGCATCATTGCATGTGTTTTGAGCATGAAGAGGATTTTATAGACTGGTATCAGAAATATGGGCTAATATCGGATTTATGGACTTGATCTGGACTGGGCTAGGATGTTTTCTCGATATTCAACGGCTCTTGTATATAAAGCTCTTTCTCATACATATGAGTCTCCCTGGACTTGTTTCTCTAGTCTACCCGGACTAACATGTATAGGGTCACCGCCATCACTCAGAATTGACTCGATGGCAGTGAGTTTGATTTGTAGTTATATGCCATTAAAGGTCAATCCACCCATGTAGACTAAGAATGTCCACTCCCTACTGTCTCTTTTCAGGACCTTACCTTATTTATTTGTTAAATGCTTTCTTTTCATGTATGTTTAACTTTTAACTTTATTTGCAAAGGTTGACAAACAACAAACCCAGACCAGCCAAGTTTTACCAGGACACAGGCCTACCCATTCTTTCTATAGTGTCTATGTGGAAGCTTCAGAAAGCTTGGGGAAAATTCCATTATCTTTCAAGCCCAGTTTCCCACAAACTTTGGAGGCCTCACTCCTACAAATAGCAGTTGGTAAGCTATGTACCTTACTTTATGGCACTTTGAGGGCGTTTGCCAGGCACTGCATAAAAGCCTCCCAAACATAAACCCTCACTGATAAAGCAACCAGGACTGGGCAGTGCTTTGTTCTGTTTGTATATAGGGTCACTGTGAGTCAGAAGAGACTCCACAGCATGGCACCTAACAGTCTCCACAGCATGGTACCTAACAACAACTCCTCAATTGACTACAATATGTCTTCGATTCCAAAATTTCTAACAAGGTTGCTCTTGGTAAAATTACCAGAGAGCAAATCCAATGCTGTTTTTCAGTCCCACACCCTCGGTTGCTTCTGAGATGGTTGAACCCTGTCGCCTTCCTGACATACTCAATGGCTTCTCCACCCTCAAGACTCATCTATGGGGTTTCTTATCACTAAGCATTTGAGAGCTTGCCAGATTTCTATGCTTGTTTTCTCTGACTCTAAAAGATTTTCTTTAAATATTTCACCCAGTCTCAAAAGTTTTAACGACCATATGCCAATGATACAGGTCTTCCCTAAGCTCTAATCTGGTGGCTATTCAAACTTCTCTAAGGCTCAGATTTAACAACCACCCCCACACCGAACAAACCCATAATCTTTCCCACAATTAATTAGCTCCTCCTCTCTTGCTAATCTGTTCGGCTATAAATTCCCTGCATCCAAAAAGGTAAATCATGAACCATATGCACCAGAGAATCAGGGCAGAAAATAGAGCGATTACCATGCTCTTGAGCAACCGAGAAATGCCATCATCGTTACAAAAGCAGTAAATTCTTTCTGATGTCAATTCTGAAGTTGAAAGACTAAAACCATACCCCTCACCACTGTTGTCTTACCTTTTGGTCCTCAGGAATTGTTTCCTGGGGTTTCAGAAGTGCTGTTCTTTCTTCATCTACCCAATTCCCCCACTCTTCTGCGGGGGCATTCCAATCCGAGCTGGGATCAGCAGATGACAGACCATCTATAATTGAAAAGTGTTAATTAGGTAGCTACCATTTATACCATAAACTAAAATGCAAAAAAGAAAATGATCTATGTTGAATTAAAGGGTAATTTAAAATCTATTATTCTTCTCTTTCCCGAGTACATGTTAAAGGGCTAGAGAGCTCCCTACCCTGCCCCAAATAAAGTTAAAAACCTTTATCTAAAGTTAGCTAGGCATATAACATAGTTTATTATGCTGAATTTCTAATAAACTCCTGAAAATGTACAATTTAGCCTTTCAGTTCTACTCTTTTGTTTTCTTTGTTATGAATTTGCTTTTTTCATTGGGAAGCTATAACTTGGTCTAGGACTTGGTCCTTTAAACAAATTCATCAACTTATGACACAGTATTCAACCTGCTCAAGAAAGAATTATTACTCTAGACTTCAAATCTCTTCCCCTCCAGGAGGAAATGAATTCTACCCCCTTTTAGAACCTAACACTATCAATGGCTTGTTCTACTGTCAATCCACTGCCATCAAGTCAATTTTGACTCACAGTGGTTTCAGAACAAACAGCCTCATCTTTCCCCCACAATCTTGGGGTGAGCAGCCCCTAACAGCACTGATAGTGCCACTCATCAGATTGGTCCTGTCTCAAGAGATCCTGTGTACAACAAAACCAAATATCGCCCAGTCCTGCTGCCACTTTGTCAATATGAACAGAAGTGAAACATTGGGTTTACCTGGGCTGAAACCCAAAAACCCAAACTCAAAGCCATTGAGTCAGTGTTGACTCTTAGTGTCTCTGTGGGTTTCCGAGACTGTAACTGTTTATGGGGGTAGAAAACCCAGTCTTTCTCCCTCAGAGCTGCTGTGGTTTCAAACCATGTGGATTGAAGCCCAATGCATAACCACAGCTCTCCAAGACTAAAATGTAGCTCTAAAAATTAGTCCATCTTCTGTCCTCACATCATATTAAAAACAAAACCAAACACTGCCATTTGAGTCCATTGCAACTCCTAGTTACCTTACAGCACAGAAAAGAATTTCCCAAAGGGGTTCAGAGCCTGTCATCTTTCAGGAATAAAAAGTCTCATCTTTCCTGGAGCAGCTGATGATTTCAAACTATGACCCTTTCAGTTGTAGCCCAATATGTAACCCAGGTATATACAGACACACATATCCCTATATGTACTTATTATAGTCAGGCTTCATTTACAATAGCTTGTGAGATTAGGTTTTATTTCCAAATGGTTAACAAGTTGTCCTAACCCTGCTTAATTGAAAAATCAACTGTTTTCCACTAGTGTCAAATGCCATATATCATACTAAATTCTTTCGTGTATGTTAGTCTATTTCTGGAACTCCTATTTTATTATTCATCTACTCTTGGGATAGTGCCACACGCAACACACCTTTGTAATACAGTCAGTTCTCTGTATCCAGGGCTTCAACCGTGTGGATGTCACATCTGTGGCTTCAGTGATATGGAGACACCCCCCCAAAAAAGGGAAGGGGGTGCTAAAAAGTAATTAAGTGATCAATACAATCTCTTACAGGCTAACTCCTCTGCCCTTGAGTGATATGCAACCCTGTAGGGCAGAGAACTGCCCCATGGGGTTTCCAAGGCTATCAATCTTTACTGAAGCAAACTGTCTCATCTTGTCCACTGGAGCTGCCGTTGGGTCCCACCACCTGATTAGCAGCCTAATGCTTAATCCATCACTGCACCAAAAGCTAAGACCAAGTATAAAGTACTATTTAACCAGTATTTAAATTTTATTAGGTATTATTATCCTATGGGCTCTGGAACCAAGCCCCTGTGGATATCTAATTTGAGAATCTACAAGGGCAAATCTGCCTGCACTAATTACTCTTATTTTCATCATTATTTATTCAGGTGAATGCCGTTATCATTTTTTCTTAAAAGAATTATGATACACCCTAAGAAGATCTTTAAATCCCATGTTTTAGAAGAACACTTAATGATCTGGAAAAATCTTCACAGGAAGAAAACCAAAACACAAAAACTGTATACATAATCACAAATTTATATGCGACAAAGAAACTAAACTACAATAGAGCTTTATCTCATTGGTAGCACTGTAAAAATCTTATCTATTCATTCCTTATTAAACATTTACTATGTGCTAGGATCATTAAAGGCAGATATTAATATATCTATTATCTCATCAGTAGATGGCAGTTATACAAAATGATATCCCTACCCCCACCTCACGGGGCTCATAGTCTATTCAGGGACTGAGAAAAGATAAGGACACTGACTAAATTAAATAAAGAATGACAGATTCTGTCATGGGGCTGTGGGGCTAATCTAGAAGTCAGGGAGAGGTTGAAAGATAAGGATTTACCATCTAGTGGGTGGGTAATCACTGAACACATTAATTACAAGTGTAAAATGTATGACAAAAGGGGAAATCACTACTATTTCTAAATTTGTTATCATAAGCAAGTATCATGGGCGTTAGGCTCAAATACCGTATATAATCGCATGTAAGCCAACCCAAACATCTAATTTTACCACAAAAATTGCATTAAAAATGTGCTGGAAAACTTGGGATCAACCTGATGGCAGTGAGTGACTCCCACAAGATTGATCATCTCAGAAACCAAAGTGCTGTCCTACTAGGTTCTACTAGATGTCAGGAGGTTTGATTCTGGTGTATTTTGAAATGTCTAAGAAGCTGGTTTTCTAATATTAATGTATCAGCGATACATAAAACAGTAGCCACCATTTATTGAGCATTTACTAACTATCATTTGTTTTACATGTGTCTTTAATGCTTTGGGTGATCCTGTGAGATTGGTATTTGGCCTACTAGAAGCAACTTAGCCAAAGTCACATAGTTATTAAGTAGTCGAGCAATATTAAATTAGAACAAGCATGATTGTACAACTGCTGACACCAACATTTCCAAACCATTTTCTTTCTTTTTGAACTCTTTGGTGACAATGGTTCTAAGGCCCCAAACCCAGTGAGTGTGACTCATTCACTCAAGGTGTTTGGCCACAGCTAAGAAACTTTCATAACATAACACTGTCCCGTCCACACTCTACTACATACATGGATATATTTTTGCACATGTAAATATCTCATCACACATACATACATATATACATATATTCTTGAGTATAGTCTCTTTCACCTTCCCACACAACTGTTCGGCTTGAATGCCAACCTATGTATCCATTCCACTGGTATGTTATTGTGTGTTACATGTTTGTGTACGTAATAGTAGGAGAATAGTAACAGCAGCCAAGAACAGCACCAGTAAAACTTATGAAATATTTACTATGTACCAGGTACTGTTTTAAGAGCTTGATGTGTATAAATTAACTTAATCCTTTCAACAACTGAGGGGAAGGAAGGGAATGGGGTACAGGCCGAGATCTTGCAACTTGCCCAAAGGCAAAGGCAAGGGCCCTGGGTTTTAAAGCCCAAGTAGGCTATCCCTGAAGCCCATGATCTCAACTACTTTACTATGGGACACTCTTCAACTCAATGTGCTTTGTCTAAATCATGTCTATGGCTCAAGCCATGGAGCAGATGTATTAAGCCCACTGTAAAGGTAAAGCTAATATGTAATCATGCACTTTTCACATTCACTGACCACCAAAAACAGTCAATAAAGGTAAGAGTGCAGAAAAGAAAATTCGCTGGAAGATAGTAAAGAGGAGCTTTGGGTGAGCAAGACTGGCGAGATTGCGTAACAAATTTGAGAAAAGATGAAGGTGTTATTGCTATATTAAGTACAGCAACTTACAGGTATGCATGTGGGGCCTTCAAAAAGTTTATGGGCAATTTCCATTAATTCAATTTTTCCACATTTCTGAAACTCCCTTGTGTATGTATGTGTTTGTATATACACATATACATTCAATCTTTAATTTTAGCAGCCAATCATGTTTTGCATATTGAGAGTACAGGTAAAAGTGGAACTCTGTGTACAAGAGGGGAGGCCTGGAGCCATCTTCAGTCTCACCCTCATACCTGACATGCCTCGGTGCGATTTTCTTCGACTGCAGTCAGCACATCGATCCTTCTTCTTAAAGTAGAGATAGACTATCCCTTCCACCCTCTGAGAACAGTGCTTTTACCTTGCAATACATTGGACTTACAGGAGACCTTACAATACATAGTTTCCCTGTCCACCTAATACCTCATTAAAATCTCATCGCCAGTATAAGTGTCATCACTATCGACTACAAGTGACAAAGTCTATCCCACAGGAGATAGTATGTTTTAGCGCTCAGCCAGCACTTCTCCAACAGCCACCGCCCCCCCCCAATCATTTCCAATATCACTTCCCTTAACCTGTAAGAATATTGCTTCACAAGACCAATTTATCTATCAAGTCACAAGCTTACTTTTATGGTTACAATGATCACTTAGGTTACATAAACTATGTAGTGCAGTGGTTCTCAACCTTCCTAATGCTGCGACCCTTTAATACAGTTCCTCATGTTGTGATGACCCCGGACCATAAAAGGATTTTCATTGCTACTTCATAACTGTCATTTTGCTACTGTTATGAACTGGGTGGCCCCTGTGAAAGGGTCATTCGACCATCCCAAAGGGGCCACGACCCACAGGTTGAGAACCGCTGATATAGTGGTTTAAGAACATGAATCATGAAGCCAAAAGGTTTGCGTAATATACATCTAACACTTAACTAGCTGCATGGTAGGGGATAAGTTAATTCTCCTCATCCCTGTTTATTCTGTAGAGGGCAGAGAAAACTATCCCCAAAGACCTACACTGTAGAATTACTATGAACATTTACTAAAATGAAATGTAAAATGACTTAGCACAGTGCCTGGTATAACCTTATATTAATTATTATCACTGCTGAACACCAGTGTATGCAGCAGGTATGGAGCATACAATAGAAAAGGGTAAGTTCTTGTTATGGAGGGGTTCAAACTAATTTTAAAACAAAAGCACATTCTTTAAAATATTTAATTAATTTTAAATTTTATTTACTCTTTGAATGATATTTTTACTGACATCTTACTCATTCCAATACCAAAAGCACATTCTTAAAACAAACAAACAAAAATTAAACAAAGACCCAAATGAAAAATCTTAAGAGGCAGGACATGAAATGCCAAATAAAATAGTACAAAAGTGCTATAAAAATTCAGTAAAAATGAATAAATCCTGAGGTTTAGAATTATGAGGAATAAAACTCAAAACTTAAAACAACACAAGAAAAACACATAGAATGAGCTTTCTGAATATAAAAGGCTGTTTTTGTTTCCCTTTATTTTATAACTCATCTTTAACCTTAAGTTTTGAAAATTTGAATCCATTCTAATCGCTCAGTTATAACTAGGAGAAACAGAACACTCACTTAAAGCAAAATTTGAATCTACAAGTGCTACAGAACTACAAAAAAACTTTACATAATGCCTCATGAACTCATGAAAGTGAGTTTAGTTTAATTCTATGGGCATTTAATAATCACATGGTTGATATGATAGCACTATGAACTAAAAGGTGAGAAATTAAGATAAAAAAATAAAGTACGAATTCAGGGTACTAGAAAGAAAATTCTGAAATTAAAAAACTGATAATTTTGAAAAGGACATACTTAACCCAGACCATTCATCATCGATATAGGGTTGATTACGGCTAACATCCCACTGATAATCAGAAGTGGTAGACTGAGAAACTGGCTCAGCAGTAGACCCTTAAATGAAAAACGAATGCAATAAAATTAAAAGTGGAATATTTTAATGATGTTTCATAACAATAGTTCTTAAATTTGTACATGGAGACTTAAAAGTATTTTTCATTTCTCCTAAAAGGAAAAATTCAGACATTAGAATACGTAAAACAAAAGGCTAAACAGAAGTAGAATTGAGCATATTTTTAGACTAAGTACGATATTCACTTAATCTGAGTCATTTGATCAGAAATATATTTTTCCCTGGAACCAATCTGTTAGATTTTGTCTTTTGTAAGATATACTTCAAATTAGTTGTTTATAAATTTTAAGAAGCCAGGAGAGTTGTTTTTTTTAACGATGGCCCACAAGTTCCACGGCACGCCAACCCTGCAAGCTAAACAAACGTCTCCCACAATTATGGAAGGTAATCCTGACAATTCCTTCTATGCTAATTTTAAAGGACACAAATTCTTTTAAGTAATATTATAGTAGCTGATTAGCAATAATGCATCTTCCAAATGAATAGATGGTCAGAGTGCAGTTGCTGTGTGGGAGTCGATGTAACTTGAAATGGGCTGGGGTGAATATGGGAGTGTCAAACCGCATGCACCTTCACTCTAAGTGCTGAGCACACCAGTACTGCAAGAGTGCCATGACCCTAAAGGGAAGACAAGACCACCATGCCCGTCTGGGGCCACTTGACTTGCAGTCATGTTTCCCCCCACAGACGCTTTCTGTGTCCTCCAGAAAGCAGAACTAAGCCATCTGCAAATGGGAGTTTAAGGCCCCATCCCGTTTTAAAGCTTGCTTCACATGTAACATGTACTGTCATTTTCCACAAATAACACAGCCACATGTGCAATGCTCAGAAATGAGGAAGTGGAGTAAACCGCTCTGGCATGTCTCATGACCTTTCCAGAGAGAATCTTGATCTAATTCCCCCACGTCTCCCATATTACAGGTACATCCTATTGTTTGAGTAACTGCAATTGGCTACTTAAACATGGATAAAAATAGTCCAACAATGCTATTTTTGATAATGATTGTGCAATAAAGGTATAAATAAACCTTGGCCAAGAATTTATGCAACAAGTTTGGTAGTCTAAAAGGATCAGAAAATACAAAAATGAAACTGTATTTGTTTCTATTAATTTAAGTTGGTAATTTATTGCATTAGCTCAACAGTCGAATGTAAAAACTTGATCAGATTGACTTAGATAAAACCACAATATTATCTTAATATTTCAACTTGGGAAATAGGTTGGGACAACCCTAAAGGACAGAGAAGATTTTGAAATAGTAAATCCTAACAGTCGCAGAGTCTCTCATTTTTCTCCTGCAAAGCAGCTGAATCACCACTCTTGTGGTTAGCAATGTCAGGTCTGCGTATTTTTATAATTTTTATAATTTAATGTCTCCTAGTGTCAACTTAAAAATAAATTTGCGTAGATCGGTTATGAAAGTAACGTGCGTGTGTCAGGGCAGATGTGTGTTTTTAACGTAGTTAGCACAAGGGGAAAAAAACACTCCATTTGGGGAAAATATGGTACCTACTATTTATGCTGAACAGTGGTACTTGATGGTGATTACTTTTCCAGTTAGCAAGCACTAAAATTAAACATGGTTTTTGGTTAACTAAAGGAAAGACTATTTTCACATCCCAGAAACAGCAGAGTTAAGTGTGAGAGATGCAAAAGAAGCAGAATTCTGCTGAGAGGCATTCATTCCCCTGGCAAGATTTGTAGTGAAACCGGTAAGCCATGTACAGATGTAAAATGATGATAACAGTATTTAAAGATAACCTTAGAAATTAGAACCACTAACAGTAATATTTATTATTTACTGAATGCCTTCTGTTGGCTAGGCCCTTTATTTACAGAACAGGTAAATGCTTTGCCGATAGCCTGAAAACAGATAAGCCATGATGGGAGCAAGTCAATTTCCACCATACCTAAATACTTAATTGTCTACAATTGAACAATTACTTTGGGCTAGGCCACTGAACTTGGTACTTGATATTCATTATAATTATCCCTCCCAACTTAAATCTGAGGTTACAAGTCCAAGGTCCAGAAAAGCTAGTAATCGAAAGATTAGGGGTTCACATCTAAGAGACCTATCTGAACTAGTGGCCAAGTTCACTCCACTACACCAGGGTACCCTTTCCATCTTTTCAAAAGCATCCTTTCATCAGGATGAGTATTTAAGTAACACTCAAGAAATTCATGTACCCCCCCAATGAAATAAAACCCAAGACATCTTCTCAGTGACCCACGGCATATCTAATTTAATTTAATTCCCTTTCAATTTCAACAAAGGTCCCAATCTGTTCTGGCATAAATGTTAACCTGTGCCTCAATTTTATCAGCAGCTATATTAAGCAAGTACCATCTACTTCACATTCTAATTATGAAAATGCTACACAGTTTTTATATGTAATCAGTATGATTTCATAGAATGCAACTATTTTTTTGATTAAAAGTAAAGGATGTTTTATAGCATGGACATTTTTTTACTGCTGAAAATAAGGTTGCAATTTAGGGAGTACCTCCTTTTTCCAATCCAATGTTTATATTCTTGATAATTTTTGGACATGGCAGGGTATTTTTTGGGGGGAGGTGCTTATGAGCAGTATCAGTAAATGATCTAAATTTTACTAATTAAACAGGGGTCTTTCTAAGCTTAAAAGTGAGGCCAGAGTACAGTTTTGAAAAAAATCTACTTAACCACTAAAAACTTCATAGATTCAACTCTTGTCTCTAAGCCCAAAGAAAAAAACCAAGAAAAACCATCTCCTACAAGCAGAAGTATGTGTTTTAATACACGAGGAACTATACCTGGAAGGATAAAGCAAGGAGAGCCACGGGACAAATGGACAAAACCGCCAGCAATTCACACATGAAACAGAAACAATCAAGGAAAGTTGGGTTTGTGTGCATGCTGTTAACCAGAGTGACACGTAATTTTTCTATTATATTAGAGAAGATCTAAACTATAAAAATACACGAACCTTGAAAAGCATATGTAAAATGGGCAGTCATACTGATGCTGAGAGTACACATTAGGAGCACTCTCAGAAAATGCTTGGGTAAGATGTAATAAGAGTATTACAAACATTCATTATTTCCTTTAACTCAGCAATATCTCCCTTAAAGTAATAAATCCCCAGATAAAGGTTATTTATTGTAGCAAAAAATTAAAAACAAAAAGAAAAGTGCTTTCTCCAATAACACATGAATGATTAAATAAATTAGGCTACGCTTACACACTATATTATAGGACATTAAATACAAATATCTACTAGGAGTAAGGAAAATTCTTATTTGTAATGTTAAGAGGAAAAAGGAACATAAAGACACATCCAATTTGTTAAAGGGAAAATAAAAAGCCTTTCGCTGGGAGAAAACAAAAAATCCATACAGAAATATAGAACTAAGTTATCTGCAGGTGGTGTGAGAACAGTAGTTTTCCTCTTCTCTTTTTGCAGTTTCTCACATTGAACAGATTTCTGTTCTGTGCCTGGCACATGTGGGCAGGTGCATGTGCGCGTGTACACACACACACACACACATACACACACACACACACACACACACGACTTGCTTTTAAGTTGAAGGCCCTCAACAAAGACTTTCAATTACTCATCTTTATCTTTTAAATCCCAGCCAGGGATGGGGTTGGGTAGGGGGCATTCTGTGAAAATAGGTTTGGTAGACTGCAAAATATTGCACAAATATATGCTATAGCCTTCAATTTATAATGTTTATATAGTTCATGAGAACTGGTGGCCAGGAAGCCTGCTCATACACTACACTGAGTACATATGAGGGTACTCTGTAATGTCAGAGTCCTGACATTTGTTACCATTTTGTTTCCATTGTTCATTTTCACTTTGTTCCTACTATGTTTCAATCAAAGAATCTGAGTTATTTACGATCATTTTTAAATGGCCTTACTAATTTTCTTATTCGTAGATCTCTCCTGACCCCCACTTGCTGGAAAAAATAATAATCTACCAAACAAGCAATTTTAGGAGAACTTAAAATTTATTAACAGTTCTTACCAATGCCAGAAAATATTGAACGGTCACTCCAACTCCTGCCCCAGTCTTTTCCATTTGCGTTAGCATCTCCGGTGTCTTGACCCCAAGCGGATGGCTCGGTTTTCCTCTTGCTGGCAGACGCAGGTGGGACCGAGTTCCACTTCTCCTCCCCTGCACTCATCTGCGAGGAGAGTTTCACAGACTTTTCATTCCAGCCTCCTCCATTCACGGTAAGGTTTTCATTCAGTCCTGAAGAAACTTAAAAGAAGTAGTAAAAATTAAAAACTGATGTGAATCGTGGGTAAGGGGAGACTTTTTAGGACTACTTATGTATATTCATTACTCAATTTTGGCCCCTACTGTCCTGGTTTGTGCTTAAGTGCAAATTAAAACTGCTGAATTGAAAAAGGAACATGATCACCACGGAAGCCTTTTAGATAGCTTAAAAACTGGCAGGAGGGTTGAAGGTATTTATATGCACACATACACACAGTTATGTTTTCAATAGCAGAATGACTGACAACAGAGCAAACGGGAACGCACACATTCTGGTATACTCATGCTGGGACAATAAGAAGGGTTCGCCTTAGTTACACAGTTTTTCCTGTATTACATGAAGCGTCTGAAAGGTTGTGGAAAGATCCCATTTTCTTTTCATTCCATTTTCCCACAAGCTTTTTGATGTCTCCTTGTGTGAATGATTAAGACAGGAATTCTCAAACTTGGATGTACATTAAAATCACCTGAGAATTTCTTAAATTAAAATCTCTGGGGGCGGCACCCAGACATCAGTATGTAAGTGTATACACGCACACAAGCACACACACACACGCATCTGTATATGTACACTACACAACAAATGCTCTTTTCTTATATAGCGGGGCTTCAAAAAGTTCATGAAAGAATGAAATTGAAAGAAAATGTAATTTTCCCAAGAACTTTATGAAGCCCACTTGTATGTGTATTTTGTTTTTGTTTTATTTTCACTGTGCAACCCACTTCAGTGCCGACGCCCGTGGGACAGAGCCAGGCAATGGTTCGGGGTCACAGTTCGCTCTGGCACGGGACACTCTGAGAGGCCCATGGTGTCGGGCCTGCCTTCAATCCAAACCCATGCACTGTATTTTGTTTTTAGGGTTCCTAGAACATCGTAGTGCAGCCAGGACAAGAACCCCTCTGAAGATGAGAAGGTGCCGTTTCATTTCTAAGTTTATCACGATACTCGTGTTTAGGACAGGTAGACAAGTGTTTAATACAATCTTTATCATAACTGAGCAAATAGGAGGGGACTTCAAAAAGTGTGTAGAAAAACCCCAGTATCTTTTAATTCCATTTTTAAAAAAACACACAAAACCCGTTTTAAAGCCCCCTCGTATAAAATACCATGTTTGTCAAGGACGGCCTAAGTTTAGAATATTTATTGTGAAGCATTTCCTTATTTCTTAAATGTAGGCAGTTTACAAAGCTTATAGGTACCAGTCAAGCATGATATAGGATGTTTTAGCAAGGAAGGCATGCACCAGGAAACCCCCCACCCCACTTAATATACAGGGCTACATCTTTTATTTCATAAAGGCCCACTTAAGCCCAAATCCAAAAGGACCCTTCTCTATTGGCTTAAGGATCAAAATTACATACAAACTATTACTGGGGAGATAAAAAACACCTAGAAAATATCAGAGACTGTTAGAAAAGTGTGAGTAACTTTTCTTTTTAACTACTTTTCCAGAATCTCTGGGCAGTGATTATGATACTTTCCTAATGAAAAATAGTTAGTTCTGAAGTGAGCCCCCCCCCTCAACCTCATAATTTTCTCATGTTGAGCTAAGAGACATGTATAAAGTTTCTATTTTGATGGGCCTTCAATTTAAATTTTATGTAATTTCTCTCACCCTGAAGTGTAGAATCTCCTTTTCCAGACTTAAAGTTGCTAACGTGAATATTTAGATGAGAATCACCTGGTTGAAATAGAAATAAAATCTATTTAATACTAAATAGGCCACTGTGTATATGGAATCAAATCAGGAATAGCATACATATTAATTTTTACATACAATCTATACCAAATTGCTCCTGCACATGCTAAAAGATCAGATGGGAAAAGAGCCAGCTAATCCACCAGATAATTCATCAGGAAGTTAAGGACTGACTTCTGGATCATACTCTTAATCAACTAAGCTGCCAACAAATGGCCACACTGGCTCAGTGTGCACAGATTTGGCTGCTCTCTAGCTGTTTTAGCAAGACCCTTTAAAACAGGAACCAGGGAATTGTGCTCTGTAATTGGATTCAACTTTGCCACCCCTCAACAAGACCAGCTGCCTTTTCAACAATCCTGGAAGCAAACACATCAAACTTAAAGAACTTTGCCAGTATTTGGGACCAGGACTAAAGAAATATGGCAAGAAGTGAGAATATATGTTACAACACACACACACACACACACACACACACACACACACACACACACACACACCTCTAACACTAAAAAGCGTAATGATCACAATGTATCAAAAACA